CTCCGCTGTTCGTCCTCCTCTGACGCCGATCGTTCTAATCCATCATCCTCCTCCGCCGATCGTCCTCATCCGTCGTCCTCCTCTCCCCTGATCGTCCTCCACCGACACAGATCTTGTTTTGAAACAGATTTTGTGAAGAGGGTTTGTATGAAATACCATTAACCAAACCTGAACGAATACAGATGTAACAGATCTGTAAGTGAATTTTTTTATGTAACAGATGTAACAGATATGTATGTATACAATTTTTTTTTTTAAATTTTTTTTTGAACGAATACAGATCTGTAACAGATCTGTTTGTGTATGCAATTTTTTTTTTATTTTTTTTTGAACGCAGATCTGTAACAGATCTGTAAGTGAATTTTTTTTATATTTTTTGAACGAATTTTTTTTGTGTAGAGGGTTTGTATGAAATACCATAACAAAACAAATCTGTTAAATTTTTTTTTTATCTGTTATTGATTTTTTGATCTGGTGGTGGTGATGATGTTGTGTTTTGTTCTGTTGATGAGGATCGGGGAATTTCGGGGTCGAGGAAACCCGATCACCGTTGGGGACGGGGATAGGGACTGTGATTGTTTCCCCATCGGGGATCGGGGCCGGGGACGGGGAAGTTTTGGTCATCGGGGATCGGGGACGGGGAGGGTGATCCTCGGCCCTGCCCCGCCCCGTTGCCATTCCTAATTTTGGCCTTGTTTGGTTTGTTTTTTAAAAATAAATTTTAGAAAAAAAAATTTAAAATTTTGTTTGATTTAGTGATTTTAGAAAAAAAACTTCAAAAACATTTTTCCTCTTCTATATATCAATCAATCACTTTTTCTCTCTTCTCTTTCATTCTCAATCACTTTTTCTCTCATACACATCTATTCAATTACAACAAAACATTAAATCATCCAAAACTCCCATACTGCAAAACTATTTTCAAAATATACAACCAAACAAATCAAAAAAATTTCTAAACTCTCTCTCCAAAATCTTTTTTGAAAATTTATCTCCAAAAATCAAATCAAACACACCCTTTATGTTTTTACTCACTCTAGGGTTAGTTATATGTTTTTACTCTCTCTAGGTTAGTTATTCGGATAATAGTATATATAGTTGGTAAGATCAATTTTTGAAGTTTAGACGAATCATACTCAGTATCAAGAGTGTGGATTTGAATCCTTACCTGTACGTGAGTTCATGATTTACCACTATATAATTGAGTGGTCCAACTATATAAAGGTGACCTCTGAAGCCTTGTTTCCTTTTAGGATTTAACTCCAAAAATTACCTTTATGTGATTAGGCTTTTTTAGTTCAGTCTTGTGGTCCAGAGGATCTAATAAAATAATTTAAATAATTTATTTTATTGAAATTTCTATGTAGATTATTTATTATAATAAAAAAATTATTAATTCGATAATTATAATTCCATAAATTTATTACTTTTTTGTTTAAAAAAAAAAAGAATTGAGCAATTTGTAAGAAAATCACATTTAAGCCAAATATGATAAAATCATTTGAACCCTCTTTCCTCTTTCCTTCCATTCGCGATCGCTTTTCCTTTCACCTCCTAACGGCCTCTACTTATTCTCTTTACCTCTCTATAATATCATTCTTTTTCGCAATTGCCCATCATTCATCCATTATACTTCCTATCACCTTGTCGTAGACCATTTTTTTTATTGATTTCTTGTTACCCCTCTTATTTTCTCTTTGACACCATCTACTTCCCTTTCCCTCTTTGATGTTTGTTGTTTATGGATAGGCAAGCATCCATTCCACTCACCAAAACCAAATGGCTCGAATCAATCTATCACATAATAGACTGTTTCGATAGTTTGAGCAAACGAATGTATTTTTTTTAATCCGCTTAAGTTCGGATGAATAGCAGATAGGAGACCACCAACCCAATCCACAAAATACTCTTATGCTGTGTTTGGTTGGGAGATTTGGAAGAGATTTGGAAAGGGAAAGAGAAAGGGGAAAGGTGTATGATGTGTGTGAAACTAGGTGAAATGTATGTATATTTTATTCACATTTCACCTAACTTTTCCCTTTCTCTTTCCAAATCCCTCCTCAAATCCCCCAACCAAACACAACGTTAAGAAAAATGATGTTACACTTTTATGTTTTGTGTTAAAAAAATGACTTTTTATTTAGTAATTATATTAGTTGTTTATGAAATATGAAAGTTGGGTCTCTATTTTTATTATAAAAAATGAAGAATAAAAAAATTTGGATCTAAATAAGGCCCAAAATGGTAAAAATAATTACTGAAAAACAATTCGAAAAAATGTCAAAAATAGTAAAACTCAAATTGCCAAATCGATTTCCGTCTAACTGCCAACCCGTATAGCCCACTTAATCTACATCAACTAACTAAATGGATAGATGCAGATTTATTTTTTTTAATCAGCCTAAATTCATACAAATGATGGATGAGAGGCCATCCGAACTAACACTATTCATGAGCACCCTTCATGTTGTTTTTTTCTTCTTTTTCAATCTAAAACTTTAATCCAATGCTAACCTTAAACTCTTCTAGTCACCCAAAAAGTAAGTAAAAAATGTTAAATTGCAGATATAACTTATGAGATTTATTTAAAATATAAATTATCTCTAGTGATTTGAAAAATTATAAATATTTCATTATTTGAATTTTTTATTTAACAGAATTAATTAAAAAAATAAAATTTTAACTATTCTCTTATATAATAATAAAATTACATGAATTATTAATTAAAAAAATCTCGGACATTACTAAAAATTATTAATTTACTTAATAAGTTATTAATAAAATGAATAATTTATTATGAAATTATAAATTATAAATAATAGGGTAAATTACACTGACACTCTCTAAGGTTTAGGTTTATTACAATTCCCCCTCACCTTTTGAAAATTACATCTCTCCCTGAGATTTAAAGTTTCATTACAGATTTTCCCCCTTCAGCAATTTATTTATTTTTAAATACAAATTTTACCCACATTAGGTAAATTACTTTGACACCCCTCACATTTTAGAAATTACAATCTAAGGTTTAAAGTATCATTACTAATTGCCCTCTCGGTTAGTATTAGTTGGAAAAAAAATTCATTAAAAAAAATTAATTGGAAAAAAAAAATTAATTGAAAAAAAAATTAATTAGTAAAATTTTGTTAGTAAAATTTTTGTTTAAAAATAAACATAAGCTCATTTTTTGAATTTACGTTTTTTTCTTAAATTTACAAACTGAGACAACCATTTATAAAGTAAAAAAATTATCAAACAAGTTTTTATGACAGTTTTTAAAATTTTTGTAAATATAAATTAAAAATTAAAAACGAAATGGTTACCACACAGGTCTCAGAAGGTAAAAATGCGGTAAAATTAACAAATAATTAAATAAGTTATCAACGTAAGAAATGACTTATCAAAATATTCTTAGGTTATGTATGGTTTGATTTTTAGAATTTTTTTTTAAAAAATTAAAAATTAATTTGGTTATGTTAGGGTTTCGTTTGATAATATTTACGTTTTTTATTTATATTTATAAAAAGATTATAAATTAGTTTTTATTTATTTTTAGAAAATATAAATTATAAATACGTTTGGTTTGAATAAAATGTTTGAAAAATTTTAAAAATATAAACTAAAAAATATGTTTTTTTAGGCCTAAAATAGTTATATTTATTATTTATGACAATGGAATCACACAGATTATAATTGAAAAAATTCATTAAAAAAAAAATTAATTGGAAAAAAAAAATTAATTGAACAAAAAAATTAATTGAAAAAAAATTTTGTTAGTAAAATTTTTGTTTAAAAATCAACATAAGCTCATTTTTTGAATTTACGTTTTTTTTTCTTAAATTTACAAACTGAGACAACCATTTATAAAGTAAAAAAATTATCAAACAAGTTTTTATGACAGTTTTTAAAATTTTTGTAAATATAAATTAAAAATTAAAAACGAAATGGTTACCACACAGGCCTCAGAAGGTAAAAATGTGGTAAAGTTAACAAATAATTAAATAAGTTATCAACGTAAGAAATGACTTATCAAAATATTCTTAGGTTATGTATGGTTTGACTTTTAGAATTTTTTTTTAAAAAAATTAAAAATTAATTTGGTTAAGAAATAAGAAATAATTATCATTTAAGGGTAAAAAATAATTATCATTTTAACTTTTGGGTAGGTTATATACATACGTATGACTGCTTCAATTTAATTTGTAAAAAATTATTTCTAACCACTCGAAAGATAAAAATTATATAAAAATGATAATTATTTTTTATTTTTTATTTCTTAACCAAAATAATTTTTAATTTTTAATTTTTTTTAAAAAAATTCTAAAAATTAAACCATACATAGTCTAAGAATTTTTCGATAAGTAAATTCTTACGTTGGTAACTTATTTAATTATTTGTAAATTTTACGATATTTTTACTATCCGAAGCCTGTTTGGTAACTATTTCGTTTTCAATTTTCAATTTTCAATTTATATTTACAAAAATTAAAAAAAATGTCATAAAAACTTGTTTGATAATTTTTTTGGTTTATAAATGCTTGTCTCAGTTTGTAAATTTGAGAAAAAAACGTAAATTCAAAAAATGAGTTTATGTTAGTTTTTAAACAAAAATTTAAAAATTTTACTAACAATTTTTTTTTTCAATTAATTTTTTTTCCAATTAATTTTTTTTTTTCCAACTAATACTAACCGATGGGGCAATTGATAATGCTACTTTAAACCTTAGGGAGGAGATTGTAATTTCTAAAATGTGAGGGGTGTCAATGTAATTTACTCAATGAGGGCAAATTTGGTATTTAAAAAAAATAAATTGCTGAAGAGAGAATCTGTAATGAAACTTTAAACCTCAGTGGGAGATGTAATTTCCAAAAGGTGAGGGGAGGAATTGTAATAAACCTAAACCTCACGGGTGTCAGTGTAATTTACCCTAAATAATATTTATAATTTTCCAAACTATATGGAATAAATCGTAATTTAAACAAATATAAGGGATGAATTTGTAATTTACCTAAAAAATGAAAAAAAGAGGAATGAGAGAGTCGCGAGAGACAAAAACGTCGATGAAAGTTTCATGTGATTATTCGCAATTGAAGCAAATCTAGTTTCAATCTCTGCAAACAAAATCAGGAAAAGATGGCTGCCAATTTCTGGACTTCATCGCACTAGTGAGTGTTTCAGACTCATCTCCTTCCCAATCTTGGGGTTTTTTTATTTTTTTATTTTTTTAAATATTAGTTTTTGTGTTTGTTTTGATTTATTCATTTATGTTTTGATTTCGTTTGATCGATTTGATTTATTTTTTAAAATTGTTTTGTTTTATAGCAAACAGCTATTGGACCAGGAAGAGGTGGATGTTGTGCAGCCCCTTGATAGGGAAAAGGGCATCACTCTTGAAGATTTCAAGATCATTAAGATGCACATGGCCAATTGTATGTATTTACTTTCTCTCTCTTCCACACACACACATACATAATTGTAATCATCAACTGGGTTTCAGCTCCTGTATATAAACTCTGGTTGTTTCATGGTAATCCTGATGGGTTCCAAGCTTCTTTCCATGGTTTTTATCTAGTTTCTGCAATTTTGGGCTATTATACGAAATTACTCTCAATTGGGTATTCTTCAGGAATAATCTTTGTGGTTTTTTTACTCTTTAAAATTTGCTTTTCTGCAATTTATTATCTGTAAACTTCGTTTGTTTTCTGGGGTTATGTTATGGCTTGTATGTGGAAAACATCAGTTTAATTCATCTGGGCTCCTAGAATCAAGTTAAGGCTCATTTGGGAGTTGACTATTTTAGTTGTCTCTTTGGCTTTTTACGAAAGACGTGCAGAAAGACATGTAAGAAAGTAGAGATAAATAGTTGACTTTTTGGCTATTTTAGCCAATTGCCAAACATGGCCTAGTCAAGCAAACATACACAACTTTTTGAAATAGAAGAGAGGAAGACTTGCTAAATTGCCTTAATTTTCTTTTTGCTAGTATGAGTTGAAGATAAGTTTTTGAAATGGATCACCTTTATCAATTGTATCAGGGTTTGTTGAAGAATTCCTTATGAATAAAATCTTATTTTCATTTGAAACTCGTACTTGCTGATGAATTGGAATGTGTAGTTTGATTTCTTAAATGCAAACGGATGGAATGAAATGTGAAATTCTTTTTCGCTTCTTTGGATATCTCGACTCTTACTAGGGCATTTAGATTCCATTATAGAATCTTTTGTTTTTAAGTACATATTTCTTACAAGTGCATAGATAGATTCAAATCTATATATAATATAGATTTGATACTGTCCCATTATTTTCTGGGTATGGTGAGTCTTACATGGACACGTAGAGTGTGTTTAGTTTGGTTTTGGGAGAAAAATTTTCAAAAATTTTTTTGGGGAAAGAGTTTAGAAATTTTTTTGGTTTGTTTGGTTGTATATTTTGGAAATAGTTTTGGAGTAGGGAAGTTTGGGATGATTTGATATTTTGTTGTAGTTGAGTAGATGTGTATGAGAGAAAAAGTGATTGAAAAGGAGAGAGGAGAGAGAAAAAGTGATTGATTGATGTGTAAGAGAGAGAAAGTGGTTTTGAAAATTTTTTTCAAAAAATTTTCAACCAAACAAAATTTTTAATTTTTTTTTTCAAAAATTGTGTTTTGAGAGTTAAACCAAACAAGGCCGTAGTGTTCCTCTCATGTCTTATAGAATTTAGTATGAAGAGTTTTAGCTGACATGATGGTATGCGTTTTTGTTGTTTTGCTTGAGATGGTCATTTAGAATGAAGCTTGGGTTATATTCTCAAATGTTTAGAACCAACAATTCATTATATATTGCTGAATATTTGCAGGAAATTAATAGCAACTTTTCTTCTTGGATCTTACCTTTTTATGCTCTACTAAGCAACCTTTTATCATGTAAAATCAATTGTTGGAACTTGTGTGCCTGATAATCATATAAAAAAGTCATTGACAAGTATGCATGCATCACAGTTGATAATCTTGCCTTGCATTTTCTGATCTCTTTCTCTCTCTCTCTCTCTCTCTCTCAATCTTCTTTTTCTCTTATTCTTTTTTTTTTTATTTTTATATATATTTTTTTTGTCCAGACATTGGGAGATTGGCTCAAAGTGTGAAAGTGAGACAAAGGTTTGACTTCATTTTTGTTGTTGTTTATACTATTTGCCAAATATGTACATTGTAGATTCCTTCCAGAGGGAAATATATACATATATATTGCAAGCTATAATGAATAATATCAGATTGTCATCAGTGTTAGATGCAACCAATCACTTGGTATTTTCTGTTATCAAGGTTTAGGAGGTAGTATAAACTTATTGTAGTTCCTTGTTATATCACGGGAACCACTCCGTGCAAGGATGTGCAAAATCTTTTAAAACTGATCCTGAAAGCATTTTAAATATTTAGAACTGGTTTGAAGTGGTTATTGTTTGGTTTTTAAATTGTTAATGATTTCTCCCCAAATACCTTACTTCAATGTTTCAATTAAAAGGCATTTAATTGAGTTCCATCAGGCATACACAGAGTGTGTATTTTATGATTAAAGTCATGGGTTCTTAAAATAATTTATTGAGTGAACACGGCTGAAAAACCTGATGTTGATGAATTTTGCTTGAGTTTGAGTTGGCTGGTCGATGTTCCATTGGTGCAATTGTTTCTCCCGTCCAAGCCTCTTAATCAGTTTCTTACTCACTTGAAGATATTAGTCATTACTACTGGAACACGTTCACATAATTGTAATATTAACTACATACCATGAAATTTTGCTTCTGTTGTTCCTGAAAATAATTAGCATTCCTGCAATGTTATTAATTTGTCTGTCAGATTTCATCCATCATAATCATAACCGAGAATTAATTTCGACATTCTTGAACCTCATAAAAACATTTCAGCACATTCATGATAACTGCAAGTTGATGTCATCTCTAATCTGTTGGTCAATCTTTCAGGGTTGTAGCCACTGCTGTTGCGTACATGAGACGTGTATATACCAGGTATATCGAACAATTTCCTGACATAGGGAAAAAAATGCTCTACTAGTGGCCAAACACCACTGGCCTTTGCTTCATATTAACTGTTCTTGCATTTTATCTCAGTTATTTGTGAATTTGTGATGCTTATATGTCATGCATGCATTTAATTGTTTCAGAACCCATGCTATGTAAACACTTACAAGTGTTGAGTGAAATAAAAAATTTGAGGTTTGAGAGTGAGAGAAGTTAACATCTAATGCATTTGCACACAGTTGGTGGTATGAACCAATATTTATTTGTTTATATATATTTTTGTGAACTCCATCAGTGAAAAGGCAAACAGAAACAGACTACTTGAAAGCACATACCAAACTTGCTTTGAGGAGTCGTCCCAATACTATTATATGACTTTTAAATGGGAGAGGCACCCTTTAACCACAATACAATCCTTTTTTCTTGTTCTTTTTGTTTTCTTTTGGAACACACACACACACACACATTTTATTTTTTTAAAAGAAAAGAAAATATAGGGACTATAAGAACTCCATAAAGATGTGAAAATTTAATAGACAACAAATTCATATCAATTAAACGTGGCATACAAAAACAAATAAACTAAAATGGGAAGGAAAAAAAAAAGAAGAAAAAAGATCAGGTGCAACCGTGAAACAATTGCCCCAACCCAACGTTCTCCTCATTAAAAAGAAAACTAAATTAGTTTCATTATGTTGCGTATTACATCATGGTTTCTACTTTGGATGGGAGGATCCTCTCTGATTTGTGGGTGTGTGATGGTGGTTTTATTTTTATTAGCATCTTCAACTCTAACAGGTTGCTGCATATATTAGCATCTTCAGAGTGTTTCATTATGAAGCACATTCAAGCATATTTTAAACCCTATGACATAGCTTGCTAAGAATTATCTCATTCAAGGATATTTTAAATCTTATGACATAGCTTGCTAAGAATTATCTCTCTTCATGCTTCAGGAAAAGTATGACTGAATATGATCCACGTCTGGTGGCTCCAACCTGCTTGTACTTGGCATCAAAAGCTGAAGAAAGCACAGTGCAGGCTAGGCTGCTTGTATTTTACATCAAAAAAATATGTAAACACTTGTTATATTGAGCCAGTCTTAGATTTGTCATTTAATTATCTTAGAATTCAAATGTAGCTGCCGAGCACCTGCCATTTTTGTGTTGCAGATTTGGATGAAAGGTATAGATATGAAATAAAGGACATACTTGAGATGGAAATGAAGATTTTGGAAGCACTCAACTATTATCTAGTTGTATTCCATCCTTACCGTGCATTACCTCAGTAAGTATTTCTTCATGTTAAAGATTGCATTGCAATACGCTTGACAAACATGTTACAAGACTGCATTTGTTTAAAATGGTTTGACCATCCCCATTTTGATGTTTTCTCCCAAAATTTAACACTTCACTTGACGAAATAGCATGCTTGATTTCCCCACTTTGGTACATTCTAGTAGTCATCACATGTGGTTCCTACTCATTTCTTCTATAAGCATATGCCATCCCCTGGGGCCTTTTTTCTTTTCAAACTCTTTTTGCTCCTGTGGCTAATTTCATGATGAGTCCTTAAACAAAAGTAATCTCAACCCGTTCTCTAATATGACACGACATTTTGTGGGTATGAGGCCATGCCGTATGTCTCTGACTCTCTATTCAAGATAAATGAATATCATGAGGTTAGTGTGCTTTAGCTTGATCTACTTTGTTACATTGTCTATAAAGTCAGCACAACCATCTCCCCGAGATTCCACATCAGCCTTTTAAATGAACTTGTTATGTTCCTGCTAAAATTCAATGCTTGTAATTATTTCCAATCCATTTGCAACTTCTCTAGATTTATCAGGTAGCTTTATGAGATTCTGGTAGGAATAGAATTGTAGGACGCCATGGGTTGGAATTTTTAGTGCCTCAAACCAACTCTAAGCTACCTCAGGATATGTGGATGCTTTTTGCTGGGCCTGGGTGCATACCTTGAAGCCACCTCTAGTTGGTCTTCCTCGTGATGCTAGGCTTGCTAGCAAATCAGACTTTCCTTAAAATAACATTTGAGTTGCGATTTCGTTTTGTCTTCTTTGTCTCATCCCCTTCCTCTTCTTCTTTTTATTTTTTATATTTTTTATATTTTTCTTGGCAGGTTGCTTCAGGATGCTGGCATGAATGATGTAACTCAGATATGTTGGTAAAAACCAAATCATCACTGTATTCAACTTTCTGGTAGTTGTTTAAAAATGTCTTAGCATTCTTGGTTCTTTTGGTTTTCTTATATTTTTTTTAATAAAAAAGTCACTTTAAAGGTTCAAGTAATTTTCTTCTCCATTGCTTGACCTGCTACTGACACCCATTCTGCAACTGTGCTAAGTGCATAGTAAAGTTTGAATTAATAACTCAAGAAGAATTGGTTGGTTACCTGATTATGTTGTTTTGTTCTTCTGACAAAGTTCTACTCTGTTCATTCTTCATCAAAAAGAGAAAAAATAATGTTATAAAAAGGAAGAATTGATATTAAGAGAGAAAATAATGTTTTGTGAGCATTCTATTCTTTAAAAGAGTAGTCTAATGTTTGTCTTGCAGAATTTTTCCTTTGGTTCATTAAATGCCATGGTCAATTTAAAACTTTGTTGAGCTCACTCTGGCATTTTAAACCAGCAGGGGACTTGTTAATGACACATACAAGATGGATCTAATTCTCATTCATCCTCCACACTTGATTGCATTAGCTTGCATATATGTTGCAAGCGTGCTCAAAGATAAAGAGAGCACTGCATGGTTTGAAGAGCTTCGAGTTGAGATGAATGTGGTAAGCCTTTAAACCCGAGTATTCACCATGTCATAGCCTCTCTCTCTCTCTCTCTCTCTCTCTCTCATTATTGATACATCTGAGTGCTCCTCTTCATGCGTGAATTGCGTAGTGGCAATGGAGCTTGAAAGGCTCCATTCGAGTTCCATGGAGTGCATTTTATGGTTGTCACTATGAAGTTTAGAAAACGATTTATTTCTCCTCATCCTAAATCTTTGATGTGTTTTATGTTTTGACAGGTGAAAAATATTGCAATGGAGATACTAGATTTCTATGACAGCCACAAAATGATCACAGAGGAGAGAATTAATGCCTCAATGAACAAGCTTGCTTTAAGACAGTAGAAGGTTGGGCTAGTCAGCTACACGTCAATGGGAAGGAGGGTATCAACCCATTGCTGTGCTGAAACGAAGGATATGCTTTGAGCAGCATAACATTTTCTCTGAAAGGTTGATCTGTTCAATTCTGTAATGTCACTCGGGAGCTTTATGGGCTATGCAAGATAGCAGACATTTTAATTTAACTGGATTCATTCGGCAAGAATCCATTGTTATGTTTTTGCATGTGCAATTGTTTCTTTGAACATATATGCTCTCAATGAGGCAAGAATGGTGTTAACTTAGAATCTTGAAATTAATGAGCCTAGTTGATTTGGTCAAGTACTTTGAGAGTAGTTGTATTTGCATACCTTTTGTTCCTCCTGAGCTGCTCATAATTCTTTTGATTCATAATGCAATGGGTTCATTCTAGAAAACGAACATAACATCCCATGCGCGCGCACACACACAAAAAAATAAAAACCCTTACTAATTGACATGGAAAGGAGTTTGAGCACTAATTTGGGAATTAGAACAGTTTGATTTATCAGCAAGCCACGTACCAGAAATACATGTGCATATAAGTAATCCACTACACAAAAATAATCATATTGTGATGTGGATAAATCCACTGCCATTATTGACAAACAACTGATTTAACTTGAATTTAGTTAAAACAAATTTTATTGAACACTATAAAATCTTTTGCATCATCAAATATTGTTTACATGGATGAAGCATTTCAAGAGTATAGCAGAAGAAGCTAAATAAGTCTGATTATGACTTTAAACACAGCTTTTCACATCACACAGAACCTTGAGAAGCAAACTGAAAATCAATGGATACTCTGAATTTGATCTCAAAAAGAAAAAAGAATGAGAGATGTAACAAAAATAAATAAATAAAATTGTACAACTTGGGGATAAAAACAAAATCGTGCAAGTGTCTCATGCAGCTTCATCACCGTCTTCACCATCCCTCCCACTAGACTGTCCCCAAAACAAGAAGGCTCTGAGTCATTCCTTCACAGAATTCTGAATCTCCCAGCACCACCTCTCACTTGAAGAATGACTGAATGAATGATCAAGAATGCTTCCAAGTTCTCGGCCTATACTTTTCCCTTTTTTCTAGCCTGCTTCTTTGCTGTGCACAATTCACGTAGATGATTAGAGACAATGTTTCAAAGAAAATTATTAAGATAAAGCAGAGGAATCAGCTTACCTAATTTCCTTTTAGCTTCAGATTTTGCAAAGAACTCCTTCCATTCATCAGTCAAAACAAAAACAGGGTCTTCTTCATCTTCATCTTCATCTTCATCTTCCTCTACCACTCCCTCCTCGTACCCCTCCTCCTCTCGCATCATCCTATCAAACAGCCAAAATGGAATTGAATGAAGTGGCAATTGAAAAAAAAAAAAAAAAAAAAACTATGAGAAACTCAACTAGACTCTGCTTACAGACTACAGTCAAAAGGAATTCCCAGTTTCTCAAGTCTCCAAAGTTGCAAAATTCAAACTTTTTAAGTCTTTCCTCTTTTCACATTCTCTTGTAATTTGTAAACCAAAGAACAAATGACATTAAAAAAACAAAATCTGATTTTTGGACACTCCATTGAAATCGAATAAAGAAAGTTCCTTGTGTTTTAGATAAGATCACAAACAAATGAGTCCATTGTGCTTCAAAGGATTTCAACGCATAAAAACCAAATAAGACGTAACTTTGAATGGACATCCGAGTGTTGACATATGAATGTGAATTCGAATTAACCCAACTGAATTAAAACCGAACATTCAAATATCCAACACAATACGAACACGTTTTCGACTTGTCATCAAAAACAACAATTAATAGAAAGAAAAAAAAGCCCAACAATTTGAGCAATTCAATCTGATTCGCTGCAAGTCCAATGCAAAACCCTAGTTCGAACACAACCAAGCACAATTAGATGCATAAAAAAAGAAAAGGAAAAAAAGACACCGAATAAAAAAAGCGATAGAGAACAAAATTGAAGGAGCACTTACGGGGCATCCGAAGGGGGGTAAGTTTGGCGTAACCCAGAAACCTGCAAGTTCGATTGGTTAGGCAAAGGGAGAAAGATAGGGCTTGCAAGGGAGTGGCTGTTTGGTTGGAGAAGGTAGCTGTGATGTGGGCACTGTGGTGAAATATGAAGGTGGTGGTGGTGGTGGTGAGGGAGTGGAATAGGGCAGAGGAACAAGTGGTGGTGGTGGTGGTGGTGGTGTAAGCATGGCTTCCATGGTCCGCATGGCGGTGAAGAATCCATTTCTACGTGAGTTTCGGTGGGAAAGAAAACCCCTTTTTTTAGGGCTAAAATTCCAGGGCTTCTACCATTTCTGATCCTAATTTCTCTTTTCTCTTTCTCTTTCATTTGAGAACTTTTAATTAGAAATCATAAATAGTCAAAAATATATTTTTTGATTTTTAAAAATGATTTCTGTCTTAAGAAAAGAAAATTATATGGAAATATACAAGTGCTTTGATTTTTTTTTCCATTTTTTTACTAAATTATTTTTAGATTACCATCTAACTTTTTTTTTTTAAGATTTAAAAATTCAAGAGTCTTTTGGTCATGGCTAGATTGGACTCTTTCTCTTAAAAGACTTTAATTACTCTTTCCACACAACGAATTTCCAGTTGTTGAAGTACTTAAAAAATTCATTTAAGCACACCTAAGAGCATCTCTAGCCTTGAATTTCTTTTTTTCATTAAATTTGATAAAAAAAAGAATGCTTTTCTCAATGTGATACCATTGGCTCCAACGCTTCACTTTTTAACTTTTTTTTTTTAAGATTTAAAAATTCAAGAGTCTTTTGGTCATGGCTAGATTGGACTCTTTCTCTTAAAAGACTTTAATTACTCTTTCCACACAACGAATTTCCAGTTGTTGAAGTACTTAAAAAATTCATTTAAGCACACCTAAGAGCATCTCTAACCTTGAATTTTTTTTTTCATTAAATTTGATAAAAAAAAGAATGCTTTTCTCAATGTGATACCACTGGCTCCAACGCTTCACTTTTTATCAAATCTACTCCGGAAACAACCGGTTGGTCGACCGGTAAAAGGAAAATTTTTTTTTTTTGGAACTGTTTGAACTAATTTTTTTGAACTGTTTGCACCGTTTAGTGGTCGACCGGTTGACCGGCTGGTCGACTGGTAAGGCGATTTTTTTTTTTAACTGTTTGAACTTTTTTTTGGAACTGTTTGAACCATTTGGTGGTCGACCGGCTGGTCGACGGGTTGGTCTCCCCAACGGTCATGCACAGTATTTTGGTGAAATGCGGAGCCTGTCCTCATTTTGGTGAAACGTTTGGTGAAATCTCGATTTGATATCAATTTGGTGAAATCGTTGGAGCATAAAAAGATACTTTTTTTACCAAATTTTAAATTTGATGCCAGGTTTGGTTCAGGGTTAGAGATGATCTAAGACATTTCAAAAGTCACAAGCTTTTAGGTATGGTAGCTTAAAATCATTTCTTCAAGTGCACTACTAAAAAAATTAGGAATATTTTGACACGAATCGAAAAACTTTATTTATTTATATATTAATATTATGCAAAATAATTTAAAACGTCTCAATCAACCACAAAATTTATTATATTGAAATTGTAGAAAAATGAAAATAACTAAAAGTAATTAAGAACAAATAAGAAGTTTTCTTAACTTAACCATGAAAACAAAAAAATAATAACAAAAACAATTTTCGGTGGTCTAGGGTTTAGAAAAGAGATTTCCGGCAGCTCATTTGTATTAAAGGATTCGTTTGGAATGTGGGTTGGTTTTTTGATTTTTTTAGCTTAGGGCTAACAAATCTTATTTGTGATAGACTTTTTGATTTTTGTGGCAGAAAAAAATAAAATAATTATGATTTAGATATGACATTTTATCTTATTGGGTTAAAAAACATATTTTGTCTTTTTTGTGACTATTTTAGCCAAAAAGTCCCATTTTAGCTCTTGCCAAACGAAGGCAAAGTTGACTATGCTTTGAGTCGATGAAGGCATCCATTCTTCGACGTTAACCGATCTTTTCCTCCCTTTTACTTGTCGATCTGTTCCCCCAAGCCCATTATTTCCCCCTATTTTTTGTTCTTTCAATATCGATCTTAGCTGTTGCATTGCAGATCTAGTCCTTCTCTTTTATTTTTCACAACAGATCCTAGTTTTCTCTTCGTTGGCTACGTTTTTGACGATCTAAACTTTTCCCCTTGACCTTTAGAATCTTTTTTGGCTTGTTTTTGTAGGGAGATTTCTAGGTGTGAAGTGAGTTGGCTTTTTGGCTTTTTTGGCTATTGTAACCTGGGGCTAAAAAGCTTAGTTTGGGAAGGATTTTTGGCTTTTGGCTTTTTTAGTTTTTTTGTGAGAGAAAAAATATAATGATTTTGGGTTCGATGTGATGTTTTGTCTTATTGGATTAAAAAAACTATTTTATTTTTTATGACTAAAATAGCCGAAAATAGCCGAAAATCTTGCCTTCCCAATCGAAGGCAGTTTCTTTAGTGTTGGTTGTTTTTCCTATTTTAGCTCTTTGCTTTGTGAGTTATCCTTTTTCTATAGTCATTGTTAGTTAGGCATTTGTCCTTGTTTGTGTTTTCTATCTGTGTGTTTTGGGGTATTTGGTATCTATGTTGAAAAAGGGATTCCTTCTTAACGTTGGGCCGGCCACTAGGCGATTGTCAAGGGAAGAGAAAGGTAAAGTTATTGCCCTTGATTCAGATTGTAGTCCAAACAATAGGAGATCTATGTCACCACAAGACATGTTCTCATATATGGACCTGTACGGGGAAGAAATAATTCTCCTCGTATAATCCTGTTGACTAAGTCCACGCTCCTCCGTACGACGTCGCATTGTCACCTGAAAACACAAACGTGAGCTAGCCGGCGGGTGTGTGCCGGAAACCTCTCCAATGCCTAAGTCAGAAAACTTGACAAATAGACAAAGCTCAATGTATTCAGGAAGCAAAATTGTATTGTGTTCTGTTACCTCCACCAAGGTGATGTTTGTGAGCTTTTATAAGTTTTGAGTGGCCCAATCCTAGTAGGACTTTTATTCCTCCATGCAGAGTCCTCCTAGGATTCATACTCCTAAGGATAATGCTTATCCTTTTACACCCCCCCACTGCTTAAACCAAGTGGGATGGTTTTCATTACGGCCGAACTGTCATTTGACCGAGATAAACCTGGCTTTGTAGAGCCGCCGAGTAGGCCAAACCTTTCTTAGTTCGGCTCTGTTTTTACTCCTCATCTCGGTTCTCCTCTGCTCAACCCATAGCACGGTTGAACCAATCTTAACAAGTCGCGACCGGTATAACTCCTAGGTCGGTCTAACTCAAAGATACTGCTAGAGCGACCTATTCAAGATATATCCCGACCGGACTAACTCCGAGACCGGCCTAGCTCCAACTTGCCCGGACTAAAGTAGCTTTACTATTCTTGAACTGAAGTAACTTTATAATTCTTGGGCCGGAGTAACCATTTCTATTGGGCCAGAGTAATCATTACGGCCTTTTTACTCAGTCCTTCGCACTTTGGACCACAAAGCCCAACTCACAGCTCGGCCCAATTTTTCCCAAAAATTACCCCCTCAATTGCCCCTTAATTCTATCTACACAGCATGATTGGGATTATTAGTCTATCAACCGAGCTGGAGTTCTTTAAGCCTTTCCAGCCGAGCTAAAAAACAGTTTAGCCTCTCCAGCCGAGCTAAAAACTCTTAAGCCTTCCAGCCGAGCTACTTTCACTCCGGGCTCTGTTTGTCCGGTCAAAACGTCTCTTCAATCACAGCGACTGTAACGCTTCCCTTTCCAATGACACGTGGCAGATTCTGATAGGCTGAGGACGGCTGTCACGCCGTCTTTCGTACTTCGCTGTATATGATGTTTGGTGTTTCTTGATGATGTTCAGATTAGAGCTTTGGGAAAAGGAGATGTTTGATGTTTGTTCGGAATGAACATCAACGTTTGCAGTGAACATCAACATTGTAGTGTATTCGGAATGAACATCAACATTGAGGACGACTGGTATTTCCGAATACATACATACATCACAATGTATACATACATCACAATGTACACGACAATGTAAACGATTGGTATTTTCGGAATGAACATCGCAACGACAACGTTTGGTCTTCATCAGTTCCTTCATCAACATGATTAACATCACCAACATCACCAACATCAGCAACTCCAGGGATGACTGAATCATTGGCGTAACTTGCAGTGTTTGTGTTGTTTGTCCATTTCTGGTTCGCTTCAGTACTTTTATGAAAAAACATTAGCAGAACCCATGCGTGTATGAACTTCTGTAGAAAACTAGTCTTAGATCCAAAATTATGTAGCAACCGAACTAGGATACTGTTTGTCCTACATAGGTAGATCACTTTAGTCAATAACCGAACTAGAACTTGTATAAATAACAGAAATCTCAATAGGTTACCAAATCCCGAATCACACTGGCCGAGATAACCTTTTTGAACGAAGTCTGAACTTATTAAATTTGGAACCTCGGTCTTCAACCGAGCTAAGCCTTTGGGGCTAAGCCAGCTTCCCTAGTTTCCAAACCAAACTCAGAAAGCTGCCCCTAGAGGCTCAACCGAAGTAACAAAACTCATACTAAACCAGTTTTCTTAGTTTTTTGGACCGAACTCAGTAAGCTGCCCCTAGACGATGCATCGGTCTAATAAGCAACCTGCTCAAACCGAGCTACCAAACCTTTTGACGAACCGAGGTAGAACCAGTTTACGAGGCCGAAGTAGGGCTCTTATACCTTGCTTTTAATTTGTAGCACGGTCCAATGATCAGTGCTTAACCCCTTTGTTTTCTACTTTGCAGACTTAGGTTGCCCAGGCACATCTTCGTGCGCTCAACCGTGCTACTGAGCACAATTTTTGCACCGATATAACTTATCCATAAATTATACAACAAATGGGTAAGTATAGATACTTGGTAGAGACCCCTGGTGGCATGGCCGAATTCCGAAGGGATTATGGCATCCCAGACGATGTTCACCTTACACTAGCCAAGAAGGATATCATTCCATGGGGCGAGGCAGGCTTTGTACCCTTTACCCTGCTTTCAATTATAGAGACCGGACTAAGGTTCCCAGTCCAGCATTTAATTTGTGAGTTTCTTAGGCAAACCCAACTATGCCCAACCCAGCTATCCACCAATACATACCGGATAATAATGGGTATAGCCGAACTAAACCGCCAAGCAGGCCTGAACCTTGGTTTAGCCGAAATCTTCCACCAGTACTCCATAGGTTCCAAAGATGATGGCTGGGTTTATTACCTTAGGATACGTCGCCGTAGAGAAAAGATAATAAAAGATACGCCGGATAAGGATGTAAATGATGATGACTTCTTCTGGGTATCGGGCAATTTTG